GATTCCTGCCAGATAAAGTAGAGGGAGAAAAAGAATAGACCATCTATCCGTTGATTCATTAATAATGTGCTAATTAGTAATCATTTGTATGTGATTCTTCTAAAACTGACCTTAAAACTTGCATACTTTTTGTCATTTAAGCTCCGTTTTATCAACAATTGATACTAGGTCTTCCTTTTCTTGCCCCCTTCTCTCATGATACTTTCTATACTTTCCAGGAGAAAAATATTCTGATATCTATATGTCTCCCTATTTTTGTGTTTATTGTACGTGGAGTTCCCCCAATATATTATGCATAATTATTCATGATTTGAAACTAAAAGAGCTATTAACTCTATAAGCCAGAATACAATTTTCTGCTTTATTAATGGTCCTTCTACATGTTTAATAGAACCTTGTCAGTTGTCAGTTTGCTCAGCAATAGAAAATTCTGGAGCTAGCACCTCCTAGGAATTACCTTTGGGTTTTGATGCAACTTTTGAGGGAGAATACTTTTCTCAGTCTAATTTTCTTCAAGATTTTACCAGTATCCCTACTATTGACGATGCCTGGACTTTCACATCTACCAGTGGTCATTGTTCTCCTAGACACTGGTCATTGTTCTCTTTTTTATGTATGAATAGCAGTTGAGGTTGAAAATAAAGAATGGTAGTACATAACATTGAGGATTAAGAATGAAATGTTCTATTTATGCGTTCTTGTCTTTGTAAATTAATTTAAAAAATTAACTTTTATTCTCTCAACGCTGCCGACTTACGACTATCTTTTACTTTTACTACTGTAGGAGGCTCCAGGTTATTTCTCAATTATCCAACCAAATCTTCTTGCCAACAAGAAAAGAAGATACATACTGTCTAGTCATATTTCAAAAGAAAGTTCAAATTCTGTGAGCTTTGAATGGGTCGCATTCCCTATTGAGATGTCCAGTGTGTCTACAATGGTGCCGTCACCTTCAGGTTCAAAGCTTCTTGCTGTTCGAAATCCTGAAAATGATTTTTCCAACCAGATAAGATTTGGGGTCGATCACTAGTCAAAAAGGAGTTTTGTGTCTCTCTCTCTGTTCATGATTCTGTATATGTCGACGGATGGTAACTTATGGCAGCAAATAAACATCACTATTTCTTCACTTCACAATTACATGGTGTTAGCTAGCATATGATAATGCAGGTTTGAGGGAATTTCATGAAATAATGAATGAAATTCTTACTGCTTATGTCGCTGAGGAGCCGGTTCCCTCAAAGCCTACATTTACTAATTCTGGTTACAAGAAAGGGAATTCTACGGATAAGGAACGTGGTAGCTGGAGTGGTCAAGGGGATTGGAAGAGGACTGGGGAGAAACCTATCCTGGAAAAAGAAATCCAGATCCTTTCGTAATCAGTGTTAACAGGTAATGTATCATAATATTTTCTTACATTTGTTTTATCAAAGGGTGTTAATTTGATTTCTGTGGATGGTTCTACAAATTTGTGCAGTGGAGAAGTATATCCTGTTGAAGGAATGTCAAAGATGTTGAGTGTTGGAAAAGTTTGGGGTGTGTGTGTGGTGGGGGTGGGGGGGGGGGGGTAGC